AAACCGCCATGATTTTTTTCATATGGAGATTGTAAACCGCCATGGTTTTATTCATATGGAGATTGTAAATCGTCATGATTTTTTTTATATGGAGATTGTAAACCGCCATGGTTTTATTCATATGGAGATTGTAAACCGCCATGGTTTTATTCATATGGAGATTGTAAACCATCATGGTTTTATTCATATGGAGATTGTAAACTGCCGTGTTTTTTTTCTTCAAATGGAGATTATAAACCACTATGGTTGTATTTATATGGAGATTGTAAACAGCCATGGTTTTATTCATATGGAGATTGTAAACAACCATGATTTTATTCATATGGAGATTGTAAACAACCATGATTTTATTCATATGGAGATTGTAAACCGCCATGGTTTGATTCATATGGAGATTGTAAACAACCATGATTTTATTCATATGGAGATTGTAAACCGCCATGGTTTGATTCATATGGAGATTGTAAACCGTCATGATTTTTTTCATATGGAGATTGTAAACCGCCATGGTTTGATTCATATGGAGATTGTAAACAGCCATGGTTTTATTCATATGGAGATTGTAAACAACCATGATTTTATTCATATGGAGATTGTAAACCGCCATGGTTTGATTCATATGGAGATTGTAAACCGTCATGATTTTTTTCATATGGAGATTGTAAACCGCCATGGTTTGATTCATATGGAGATTGTAAACAGCCATGGTTTTATTCATATGGAGATTGTAAACAACCATGATTTTATTCATATGGAGATTGTAAACCGCCATGGTTTTATTCATATGGAGATTGTAAACCGCCATGGTTTTATTCATATGGAGATTGTAAACCATCATGGTTTTATTCATATGGAAATTGTAAAATACCATAGTTTTTTTTTTCCATATAGAGATTGTAAACTTCCATGGTTTTATTCATATGAAGACTAAACCATCATGGTTTTATTCATATGGAGATTGTAAACCGCCATGGTTTTATTTATTCAAGTCTCTGTAGATTCCACAAAAACAGGGCCACTGTCATGGAATTTTGCCTAAACCATGGATAACAAGTCTGTTCAAAGCTTATATAGTTGTGTCTTATGGTAATTTTTTCAAAAATTAATTTTCCATAAAGACATAACCACCAGGGTCAATTTGATTAAAGTCTGATGTAGGTATAGGCTTTTTTTTTCTTTTTTAACTTTTATACTTTTTTGTTGTCCTCTTTGTTTATTTATAATGACTATTGTATAGTTGTTACATATTTGCCAATATTAAATTTGTTTTATTTTATATCTTGCTTTGAATTAAAAAGTCCTATACCTACACCGCATTTTAATTTTAATAATATGAGAGTACAAAAAACAAAAAAAACATTATCTTACTGAATACCTGGGGCTAATCTGCACTGGCTCGGAAGGTTGTAAATGATTAGCTAGTTTGAATTTGCATAACAATACTGACAATGAACGTGCATTCAACGCCACAAGTTTTTTTGTTTTTTTTAGCCAATCAGAATTCATCTTCCGAGCCAGTGCAGATCAGCCGAATACCTGCATAAAAAAGCAATATTGACTTCATTGTCTTGGTAGTTTGTGTGTAGACCAAGTCTATGATTTTAAAAAACGGGTATTTTCGTAAGCTGTAATCAATTGTTTGTTCTTATTTTCGTATTAATAAAAAACTTGTACCGGTAAATCCATAGACGTGGGCAAGGTGTAAAATGTAATCAGCTATTTTATTTGTCCGTAATTTGTACAAAGATCTTATTTTTTGTAAGCATATAAAGCATTTTCCACATTAAATATCGTAATTCTTACGCAATTTCCAATTTTGATTCTTAAACACAAATTATCAAATATATTATAAAAATGTAAAATGTAATTAGGAATTTGCTTTATCTGTCGTTTTATTTCTTGTAAAAAGCCTTTTTTATTTCCTGTTACCTGTACCAGCTATCTATCTCCTTTTTCCCCTCCACAGAATAGTCACAAACAGACTGCTAATATTTGTTCCTTTCATAATCATATTATCATCTTTTAAGATGGCAACTGTAAAATCTGTATAGGAAACCGCATCTCTAATAGAAGCTGCATCTTTACTACATCTTGGAACAATTGAGAACAAAAATTCACCATTTCTCTTATGTGCAGTTGCTCTAATAGAAGCCGCATCACGTCTATGCATTCTACCATTTTAATAGAAGTCATGGCTTCTAATGCCGATAATGTGCTTGACTTTACCTCACATGTTATATTGCGATAAATCCAATATGCCACTATGGGAATTCATTGTTGTTTAAATACAATCATTTTTTTTCACAGTAACGATGTATATAACAGTATTTGCAGAGTACTATCTGATACAAGATATGCATACCAAAATATATTGACCAATTTTAATGTTTATATTCTACCATGTAATGTACAATACTACAATAATTGAAATGAATATTAATTAATGAATAATTTAATTTCTTGTAAATGTTAGCTTTATGGTTAAACAACTGCATGGTGCATGCAACTTGACTGAACACCATACAATTGAGACTACTGTAAAAAAACTTTATTTTCACTTGGAATTAATTTCAACTACCGGTATGTTGTCTTTTACAAACATTTTGGTTGCATACAGTTGTGATGGACACTGCCTCATAATAAAGCACAATTTTAAAAATCCATGGTCAATATATGGTTACAAAATAATCTCCTGATACTATGAGGTTATTACGAGGATACCCCAAAGTATGCACAAAGACAGTACGGCGGCAGTATCGACCGACGCACAGCAGAGGTCAATGCGACGGCGTAATAACCTTATTATTATACATCTTTTCCATCCAAGGATACATCATGGGAATACCTAAATCTAAAAAGTTTAGAACAGAATAAGCGAACTTCTTTGTGTGGAGTCCGGTCAAACCCTGGTGGCAGCCATGTTTTTTTTTTTAGTAGAGGACGCTTACACGCGTAATCATTCCATATTTGGAAGTCGCATTTCCTTATATGGTAGGATGAAAATACCCAGTAAAATACCGCAAAATTACGGCACTCTGTAACTTATGGCGTTACAGTGACAGATTTATAATAATGTATATCACTTGACACCTTAATTAATTTGCAAACAATATTGACAAAAATAATATGCTATCTAAAACGATACCTTACATTAAATATTGCTCAGTGCTTAAGGATGCTTAACATTGTCACAATAAATATTGTATGCACGCTAGGTAATTTTTTTATTACAATGTTAGCAAAGATAAAAAACAGAGATGACAAACACAAATGTGAAAGTGTATCTAACATTCTTAAACCTTGTCCACTGCCACTGTATCAGATCTCTCATTGTTTAAAAACTGCAAACATGATTCAACCTTGTCCACTGCCACTGTATCAGATCTCTCATTGTTTAAAAACTGCAAACATGATTCAACCTTGTCCACTGCCACTGTATCAGATCTCTCATTGTTTAAAAACTGCAAACATGATTCAACCTTGTCCACTGCCACTGTATCAGATCTCTCATTGTTTAAAAACTGCAAACATGATTCAACCTTGTCCACTGCCACTGTATCAGATCTCTCATTGTTTAAAAACTGCAAACATGATTCAACCTTGTCCACTGCCACTGTATCAGATCTCTCATTGTTTAAAAACTGCAAACATGATTCAACCTTGTCCACTGCCACTGTATCAGATCTCTCATTGTTTAAAAACTGCAAACATGATTCAACCTTGTCCACTGCCACTGTATCAGATCTCTCATTGTTTAAAAACTGCAAACACGATTAAACCTTGTCCACTGCCACTGTATCAGATCTCTCATTGTTTAAAAACTGCAAACATGATTCTAACCACACAATTGAAGCTTCCATCTTCTTTGTTGGAAAATACTTCTGCACATGGTGACAGATTAGCAATAATGATTGATATCTCGTCCTGATGTTAAAATCACAGAGATGTTGAAGTTTTCTAAGGCAGATTGGACACAGAAACAGTGGCTGCGACATAGCTTCCTTTACTGAGCTGCTTTCATTCATAGCACACTCAAAGAAAACACAATGTGCCAGTCCAAATGTATGACAGACTTCATGGGTCATCACCTGGAATTATAGTAAAATTAATGTTTATTCAGAGTTGAAAAATGCCCACTAAGATTTATTCTAATTATGCTCAGACTTATTAGTTGAATTGACACACAGTTAATTAGCACAGGGTAAGACTAAGAAAACATGAACAAACACTAAGAAATGGCTAGTCTGAGCTCAATCTGATCTGTTTTTATGACCTTCTCTGACCTTAGTACAAACTAACAAAGTATGTGCGAATGGCTAGTATGGACTAAGCGCCATCTAGGATTACCTTTGTTCATTTGAAATGTCACAGTGTGAGGCCTGCTTATCGCCACAGAACTCACACTGGGCAGGGGGTTCTTTCACTGCTAGAAAGGGGTAGACAAGGCAATAGTACTGGAAATGAAATACACATAAACCAAAATATCGAGTTAAAGCTCCTAGCTTTTATACCTCTCAAAATAATTACATGAATGAATGAAATTGTGCTGTTCATATCCAAGAAACAATTCCGAAGACATTTGAGTATCGCAATTTAGCAAATTTGAGGGGCAAAATGGCTGCCAGTCAGTCATATATGATCAAATGGTAAAGGTATTTCTGCCAAGTTTGAATGAGATTGGCAAAGCAAGTCTTAGAATACCGGTACTCCAAGTGCAACAAAGGCATTCCCTTTTTAAATCAATATTTATTTATTTCATTCAATGGCAGTTGAATCCAGCCAGCCAATCAACAAGCAGAGTCCACGAAAACGTCATTTGAAATTTTTTAAATATTATTCAATCAGCCAATAGAAGCCCCTCAATTTGAATTGTGAAAGGAATAAATTTATTCAACTCTGACAGAGGCTATTCCGGGTTCAGTTGTTTTCAAATAATAATAACATCACCTTGATGAGTTTCCACAATATTTCTCCATCCACTTCAACAATATCATCGTATGCCTTGTTGTCATGGTAACATTGTGGTTCATAGCGTCCAAAACTGAACACAGCAGATCGTTGTTTATAGGATGCTTCTCCAAGTACAAAGTTGAGATCGTCACTAGGGTACAAATCTGTCCACGACATACCAACGATGTAGTGAAAACGATGTTTTAAAAACTTTTTCAATTTTGTCAGCACATCAGTGACAAGCACTTGTTTCTTCCCAGTCACTTTGTGATATCGTGAGGTAACCTCCAGACTCTCCACACTGATTTCTTCTTGTGTTTCAACTTCCATTCCATGAAAGAATGTCTTCAGAAAATCACATAGAAACTGCAGAAGAGGTATCCCACCAACCTTAAAGTCCAGAATGTGTGACGGGAATTCTCCAATTGGTTGGAAGAAAATGATGTTTCTCTTAGAACTGAAGTTTAATGCAAACAACGAGTTCATTTCTCTCGCCACTTTCCATTGTGGAAAGCCTTGTCTTTCGGAATTGGCGATCTTATCTTTGCAGATAAACAGTTTACTTTTATCTCTTTGAGATGACTGGGGTTTCGCCAGATTATTCCTCTCCGGAGGGGATGGATCAAGGCATGCTTCTGACATCATGAACAAATTCTGAATCTGTGTGTCGAATTTATCAATACTTCCAACCAGTACACGAACCCGGTTGTGACGAACGCGTAGATCACGTCTACAAAACATTAGTCTCACGAAGTACCAAATGAAGAATCCAAGCGTAATGAAATACAATGTGTAGAAAGAAACAACGAACCAGTCGAACCAAACTAATACAAGATCATTATAAACGCTCATACTGTTATTTACTTGGCGTCAGGACATGACCCAAACATGGCCGTGCCTACTCAGAAATTCTCCTAGCCTCCACTCATTTTTGCCGTTGGTGGCGGATTGAGAGTCCAACGTTGATTCAACGCGTATAATAATAGTCGATGCTTGGAGAATACAACTCAAGACGAGAAGCTGAATTGCTCGAATTACGGACATTGACTTACATAAACATCGAGTTACCAAAATGGCAACACCCATATTTTAGAAACCACGCCCACTTTTGCAAAACCACGCCTAAATTGTAACTCGATGTTCAATTTCCAGTTAAGGTAAGATTTTAAATACCCACAATTTATTCATTTTCCAACAAATTAAATTGTAGGCTGGTGAAAAAAATATATATCGTGAATGATGGGGTATTTTTTGTTGTTCTCAATTATTTCCAAAATCTGTGTTTTAAAACTTTAATTAACATTTATCTATACTTCGACTTTACGAGCAACATACAACGTTAAACAAAGCAAAAATATATATTTTTACATAGGACTCTATGTGCTAGGTAAAACATGACCCGTGTAATTATGAAAAACTTTCAATCCTTTTTTGAAACTCGAGACAATGAAAACAATGTGTTGATAACTTCACATCAATAGTAGATTTATACTGAATAATGTGGTCCATGGCTCTTTGGTCATAAACACAGGGGCATGACAAGAATATAAAAGATAAAATATGTACTTTCTATTCCTTTCAACATGTAAAAGCAAATGAAGACAGAAATGGATTTATAGACGTCCGTTTTATGTTGGTAACTATCCAGCGAAAAAAAAAATCACTAACTTATTCTCTCAGTAAAGATTAGTCTTTCCTACGCTAATGGGAATGGGAATGGGAATGGGAATGGGCGCAAATGGGAATGAGATGTCAATCCCTGTCCGTCTTTAAAAACTGATAGTAATACGTTATTCAAAGCGTGCAACTTTAGTGATAGGTGTAATGATGACATGCGTGAATAATCTTCAATGTAAAATTACATTGTCTGTTCGTTTTTGTACTATGTCTTTGTAATTTACACTGCAGACTAAATTTAGGCGTGTAACATTTATAGAATTTTAGAATCTTACTTCCCCGATTCTTTACTCGTAGAAAAGATTAAGAACTTTTTGTAACAACATCATATACAAGACCGTTAATAGGAATGTCACAATAGGAGGAGAGTTAAATGCCCCATAAAGTAACACACTGTTGCTAGGTTCGTGTGACGTAGATCACTGTTAACAAAAAAGAGTACTGACCATCATGAACCACTGTCGTCACAGCAGTGGTACCAAATATCTGGTGTGAGTAAGCATACCTTGCTGACTAGACACCACATGATTGGACCTGTATTGTGAGACATGTCAAGGAATAACAATTTACTCTTGACAAGGTTAACGTGGTCTATATAGAGTCGTAATTAGAAATGCTGTCTCGTATGGTTTGCTGGAACAGATCAAATTATGAAGATGAATCCATGCTATTTGCTGTGTTCTTGCTTGTATGTTCTTCGGGATAAATCAAGTAAAAAATAACTCTAAAAATCCCTGTTATTTAAACTCAAGAGGTCGTAAATGTATCTGTAAGTGTTGTTGTAACTCTTTGCAAGCTTCAAGAGGTTGGACCGGACGAATAGTTTAAATATTTCAAGAAGTTGTTAAATAAAAAGAAAATGGTTATTTACAGTGAATTGGGTAGATATCCAATTTTATCGCTTTATTCACAAACCTAAAGAGCAAATTGTACATGGAAATAAAGTCCATTTTTAATGATGTAAATCATCAAGAAATAATAGATTCACCTGAAACAACAACATCAGCAAAAAATGCTTGAGACGCCCCATTAGTCCAACTATTCGTGTCTTTATCGTTGTCCTCGCCAACTGTTTAGAGTTGCAAGTCTTGCACAAATCCAGATCGCTTTTACACAAAGAAACAGCGTATTCCACTCATTATGACAAACAAATTAAAGGTCTCGAGTACGAATCAAATGAGATAAAACACATGTTTAGCAGAGCCATGCGAGAGACGGTGCCCACACGATGACCTCGCTCAATGAGACGAAGCTAGACAATTAGAGAATTACAAACATTAAAAATATTATCGGGATGATGATGATTGAATTCCGGGAATTGTTACTTATTATGTTTCTATGCCCACACAGAAACATTTTATTTTTTGGAAGCAGGAAACATATCCTTACATTCCAATAAAATCAACGTCCTCAGCCCTGTGGGTGGTAACCGAATCAACGTCCTCAGCCCTGTGGGTGGTAACCGAATCAACGTCCTCAGCCCTGTGGGTGGTGACCAAATCGACGTCCTCAGCCCCGTGGGTAGTGACCGAATCAACGTCCTCAGCCCTGTGGGTGGTGTCATGGTAACCGAATCAGCAAATCTTGACTCGGTGATACACATCCCCCATCAAATAAATGGATATTCTTTTGCTGAACTTGACATAAGCATGACATCACCGATGACATGGCACCACATGCACCAGATGCACCGGGACAAGTAATCCTTCAAATAATAATAATGAAACAATACACTGCATACAGATCCAGAAAATATAGTAAAGCTATTCTGGTAAATTTGTTTTCAGTGGACGCGGTTTATTATTTTTAAAATTGTCATTTTTTATGAATTTTTCTATCATTTCCACAAACGAACAAACAAATAAACAAAAACTGCGACCAGAAACATTATTATTTTGTTCTGGATGGACCTAATCATACACGTTCAGCGTCCAGTCAGGTGACAAGAGTGTTTGGTTCAAAGGTTAGGCACGAACAGGCCAAAGTACCATGTAGGTTGATGTCGAAATGTGTATAGCTGTCATGTCTTGGTGTATGTGGTTAATCGTTACTGTCATTTTATTGTATTTACTGAGGAATATATACCTTCCTGTTCCAGTTGCATTGTATGGGAAGTACTATTCAAAACGGGGACCATGGTACTTCGAAAAGCGAGCAGTATTTACCCTGTTGATGAAGCTCCGTAAATGGAAAGTCGAACGCAACGCTTCTCAGTCCGATGCTGCTGGCTATGGGGTTCGTTCAAGGGACAAGATAGAGGACATGGACCGTGCCCAGAAACTGGACAACACGCCCAAGGTACAGTATACCAGTGATTATTTCTATCAATTTATAATATCAAAAAAATCATTTTTAAATCTTTAAATTAAATGCGTACAACTTCAGTGATGGTGGTATGCGTGAATAATAAATAATCCATCTTCATTGAAATTATTATCTTTCTTATTTTTTCTAAAATTTGTATCCGGGAGGATTGGAAGTTTTCAACTAATCATATGTTTCAATTGCGTGACTTTAAAATGTCAAGTTTTCAAGTTTTACCCATTTTCTCTAAATCTTTGTTCTTATAACTATTCCTTAGACAGTTATTTAGATTACATAACATTAAAGGTGAAACACTATAGGTTATGAACCTAAGGTTCTGAAACACATTACCCATTGAACTGATCAGTTAGATCGGTTGATTATACAAATTATACATATACAAACATTTTATGAGAATAATAATTACATATTCCTGAAGATTATTGCCCATGCACACCTGTACTGCTCACAGTTTGTGTAATACACTAACAACGATTTTTTCAAAAGTATTTAAACATTATTGTATACTAAAACACCCTGCATTTGTCACCTCCCTCATAATTCTCAAATGGTCCATCCCTTAACAGCTTGGATGCTAATGATAGCTTTCACCTTATTATATTATTAATGTTTCTACTATTGAGTTCTAACTTTGTTGTATTTGTTATGAAATAAATATGCCAACATGGAAAATATGGTAACTCATACCCTCCAACAATGCTATGGCTACTAAATCTGTAGTCTTAAAATAATCTAAAGGACTTTCAATGAAGCTCCATATATTTATTAGTCATCCCTTGTGCATAGCTGCCCTGAAATTGATTGGTCAAGACCTTTTATGTATATCTGACCCCAACATTTTGATTGCTTAGTTCCTATGTACAGCTGACCTTCAGACATTGATTGGTCAGTCCCTATGTACAACCAACCCTCAGATATTGATTGGTCAGTCCCTCTGTACAACCAACTCTCAGATATTTATTGGTCAGTCCCTGTGTACAGCTGACCTTCAAATATTTATTGGTCAGTCTCTATGTACAGCTGACCCTCTGATATTGATTGGTCAGTCCCCGTGTACAGCTGACCCTTAGATATTGATTGGTCAGTCTCTATGTACAGCTGACCCTCAAATATTTATTGGTCAGTCCCTATGTACAGCTGACCCTCAAATATTTATTGGTCAGTCTCTATGTACAGCTGACCCTCTGATATTGATTGGTCAGTCCCCGTGTACAGCTGACCCTCAGATATTGATTGGTCAGTCCTTGTTTACAGCTGACCCTTAGATAATTAATTGTCAGTCTCTATGTAGAGACAACCCTCAGATATTGATTGGTCAGTCCCTGTGTACAGCTGGCCCTCATATATTGATTGGTCAGTCCCTGTGTTCAACTGACCCTCAGATATTGATTGGTCAGTCCCTGTGTACAGCTGACCCTCTGATATTGATTGGTCAGTCCCTGTGTACAGCTGACCCTCAAATATTGATTGGTCAGTCTCTGTGTACAACTGACCCTCTGATATTGATTGGTCAGTCCATGTGTTCAACTGACCCTCAGATATTTATTGGTCAGTCCCTGTGTACAGCTGACCCTCAGATATTGATTGGTCAGTCTCTATGTACAGCTGACCCTCTGATATTGATTGGTCAGTCTCTATGTACAGCTGACCCTCAGATATTGATCAGTCCCTATGTACAGCTGACCCTCTGATATTGATTGGTCAGTCCTTGTTTACAGCTGACCCTTAGATAATTAATTGTCAGTCCCTATGTAGAGACAACCCTCAGATATTGATTAGTCAGTCCCTGTGTACAGCTGGCCCTCATATATTGATTGGTCAGTCCCTGTGTACAGCTGACCCTTGGATAATTATTTGTCAGTCCCTATATGTAGAGCTGCATGACCCTCTGATATTGATTGGTCAGTCTCTATGTACAGCTGACCCTCTGATATTGATTGGTCAGTCTCTGTGTACAACTGACCCTCTGATATTGATTGGTCAGTCCATGTGTTCAACTGACCCTCAGATATTTATTGGTCAGTCCATGTGTACAGCTGACCCTCAGATATTGATTGGTCAGTCTCTATGTACAGCTGACCTTCTGATATTGATTGGTCAGTCTCTATGTACAGCTGACCCTCAGATATTGATCAGTCCCTATGTACAGCTGACCCTCTGATATTGATTGGTCAGTCCTTGTTTACAGCTGACCCTTAGATAATTAATTGTCAGTCCCTATGTAGAGACAACCCTCAGATATTGATTGGTCAGTCCCTGTGAACAGCTGGCCCTCATATATTGATTGGTCAGTCCCTGTGTACAGCTGACCCTCCGATATTGATCAGCCACTGTGTACAGTAAATTCTCAGATACTGATCTGTTCTGAACAAAGTTCACGGCAACCATGCTCTGTATATTTCTAATTTATTTCTAATTCTAACCTCTTGAAATGTATTTTTCTCTTATTTTTTTGAAATAAATAATAAATGTATCAACAAAGAGTTAAATAAATATACATATACAATAGTGTACACATACAGTGTGATGTTATGGTAAAAATTAAATTGTCATATTTAAATTTCTCCCTTGTGTAATTCAATTTTGATCTGAGAGCCACAATCCAAATCCCCTCATGAATCTGTGAATTTATATTGTTCATTATCAATAATATTGTTTTCACATATACTGTATTGAAACCTACATATCATATAGTATTTATGTCATTCAACTAGGATTAAACTACATGCTGGTATGTATGATGCCTGAACACCATGTATGCTGAGTTAGGCAGGAACTGACTGTGTAGTCTAGTGATTTGTGCATCAGTACTGAATTCATATCTGGACATGTGTTATTATTTGACAGGCAGTAGATGCAGTGTATTTTAATGGCTCCAACAAGGATGGTGCTTACATCATCACTGCTGTATCCAGGAGACCAAAGAAAGTAGCTCAGCTTGTTCTCTTTCTCTACATCCCCGATGTTGGATTGTTTCAATTACCAGAGCATCCTGATTCCACTGTGTATGAATGTAACCCAGACAGACATGAAGCAGGTGGTCTTTGCATTGAAGTTGTTACCCCAATGAAAGAATGGAAAATAACATACAATGGCAAACTAAGGTGAGCAGTTTGAATCAACAATGGCAAACAGATTAAGGTAAGCAGTTTGAATCAACAATGGCAAACAGATTAAGGTAAGCAGTTTGAGTCTGCAATGGCAAACAGATTAAGGTAAGCAGTTTGAGTCGGCAATGGCAAACAGATTAAGGTAAGCAGTTTGAGTTGGCAATGGCAAACAGATTAAGGTAAGCAGTTTCAGTCGGCAATGGCAAACAGATTAAGGTAAGCAGTTTGAGTCGGCAATGGCAAACAGATTAAGGTAAGCAGTTTGAGTCGGCAATGGCAAACAGATTAAGGTAAGCAGTTTGAGTCGGCAATGGCAAACAGATTAAGGTAAGCAGTTTGAGTCGGCAATGGCAAACAGATTAAGGTAAGCAGTTTGAGTCGGCAATGGCAAACAGATTAAGGTAAGCAGTTTGAGTTGGCAATGGCAAACAGATTAAGGTAAGCAGTTTGAGTCGGCAATGGCAAACAGATTAAGGTAAGCAGTTTGAGTCGGCAATGGCAAACAGATTAAGGTAAGCAGTTTGAGTCGGCAATGGCAAACAGATTAAGGTAAGCAGTTTGAGTCGGCAATGGCAAACAGATTAAGGTAAGCAGTTTCAGTCGGCAATGGCAAACAGATTAAGTAAGCAGTTTGAGTCGGCAATGGCAAACAGATTAAGGTAAGCAGTTTGAGTCAACAATGGCAAACAGATTAAGGTAAGCAGTTTGAATCAACAATGGCAAACAGATTAAGGTAAGCAGTTTGAGTCAACAATGGCAAACAGATTAAGTAAGCAGTTTGAATCAACAATGGCAAACAGATTAAAGTAAGCAGTTTGAGTCAACAATGGCAAACAGATTAAGTAAGCAGTTTGAGTCAAC